ACAAACGGTAAAATTGCAAAAAGCGGTCCAAAAAGTCTACGAAATTCCTCATCTGTTTTAACGCAAAGTAATCCTCGCTTTAAGAATGGTTTTGAAAATCAAAGTTTTGTGACCGAAACCAACACTTGATTATAAGAAAAGTCCCATAATTTTATTACATTTCATTCATAAGTGAGCTTTCATTCATGTCATGCAATAATTTCAATAATTTAGTCAACAATTAAATTGTTAACATTTTTTGTTATTAGTAAATGTTTTTATTTCAGATTTAAATGTAAATATTATGAAATTTTAATTAAATAAAATAATTTTAATGATATATTTGTAATATTAGTATTTTTATTTAATGTGCAATAATAGCACATTTTGTGTCATGAATTTAAACATAATTAAATTGTTTATATGAGTTTAAGTTAACTGTAAAGTAAATTAATTTAATTTTGATTAATGAATAAATGAGAATTCAAAATAACATTAAGAGGTAATTAGGTTTCATAAGAACCACTCCTCAGTGAATATATTGTGAGCCAATCTTTTTATCTCTAAATATTGTTTAATTAATGAATACATTTTGATAGAAAGAAAATGTTGAAAATTAAATTTAAAACGTGTACACAATATATCATTAAATCAATTAATTACTGTATAATAAACTAACAATAAACACAATAGCGACAGATTCACGCATTTTTAGATAACTTCCGAAATCTTACAAAAATATACACAATAGTGATGTCAATAGAGAAAGCTTTATGAATGAAGTAAATTGAAGTTTGCTTTCAAGTCATTCGTTAACAACAATAAAATACAAAATTCTCATCCATTTATACATTACAGTGAAATAGATATAGAAATATAGATATGGTATTAAAAATGTTTTCATGAGCTCAACAATCAGTTCTAGTGTTCGGAGTCATGCATTCATTTCATATTTGAAACTTAAGTATAACTTGTATTGAACACAGAATAATGAATTCAGTTATCGTAGACACCATTCAATACAACTCAATGTTCTAAATCTCAATTCACATCTCTTTTCTGATTGTTTAGTATCTCTTTTTGTTTGTATTCTTGAGATTCATTGAACCACTCATTCAATGCACACTAAAAGAGTCAAAATTACAATAATTTATTTGCTTATTTCCATTGCGATGAATGTCTGTCACAGTTTAATAGATCCGGTAATTGATTGCGTGAATAATGCATTCGTTTTCTAATTAGTTTTATTTTACAAAAATACAAGACTTTAGTCTTACATATGATCGAGCGATAAGTGTTTCAACAAAAAAAATTAATTTTTATTTTTTCTGATTATATTTTCAAAATCATTGACTTTTGATGATTAAAGACAATAGCGATGTGTATCGACGGAGAGGTGGACACAGCGGTGCGAACTCAAGACGGAAGCACTTATATATTCATGAGTAACTGGTTTTGGAAACTGAATGCCAAATTGGATGGAGTGGTCGGTAATGCGAGTGCTATACGCGATCATTGGCAGCATTTGGACAATAGTCTCGAAACATCTTTCTATATATCGGGCAAAAGAAACAAATTGGACGGAAAAACATTTTTCGTTAAGGTTTTTACACTAACTTTAAAACTCATTTTTAGGTTTACTCTAACGAAGAAATTGTTGGTTTAAAAAATCAACATTTGTTGTAATAATAGGAGAAACAATGGTTTCAATTCACAAACCAAGTGTTTGAAGAATACGGAAGCGTTGATAAGTGGAACTCTTACCCGACAAATGGGGAAGTGTTGGCCATTTGCCAACACGACGACCCGATAGCTGTTTTCTATGTAAAGCAGACATCATTAATATCCAAATTCGTGTCCACACATCCCATCGCCTATTATTTCGATAACCAAAGACTTCCGGACAACCGAAAGATTCTCTCATATAAACTACCTTTTGATACATCAGAAACCGAAGCATTGATTTCCTACGACGACGGAAGTTATCTTATTTTCTTCGACGACCACTTTCTCGGCGGACACTGTTTTATGAGAGACCCTACGAAAGGCGTAAGCGATCCCTACATTCATAACATTTAAAATAAACAAATTTTTGTTTATTTATCGTTGAAATTATCCGAAATATAGTGCGAAACTAACCGTAAAAACAGTGATTTCTTTGATTGTCCCGATTATACGAAAAACCTATTCAACAAGAATCTGTTCATCAGAATGTGGTACTGGTCTGGACTTTCTCTCATACAGTTTGGGATTGTATTGTTGGCAATACTTCTTGTGATCGCATTTATACTCTTCTTTCTTTTGGCACTTGTCGTCATAAAAGACATTCAATTATTTAAAGCTAACTTTTATAAATCGGATTAAATAATAAAACGTGTTTTATTAAAATTATCAAAACACCAAAACATTTAAATGAATTTTATTTATAACTATTTAAACAAAAGTCAAAATTATAGACTTTCTTAATAATGAACTAAATATTAATTTTACTGTTATATCAAAACTATTCGTTTCAAATGAAATGTTCATCGGTTTTAATCTATCGCTTAATTTGTATAAAATAAGTAAATATATTATATGTCAAGTTCTTTGTGTGTCAATATGTCTCGCATTCCTCATCTGTTCCATCATATCTATACTCTTAATGCGATACTTCTTGGCCAACACCTCATCGACGGCAGTGCCCGTCCCTAAGGCATACATTTGACTCAAATTATTACACGACTGGACGTTATCTAAATCGCATCCTTTGATCCCATACTTCAACGCTTTCGGCAAATCCTTTTCGCAGCCGTTTTTGCCGAAGAGATAAAAGGAGTGCAAATAAAAACAACACTCGGCGGCGATCGAGCCGTTGCCCGTCAGTTCGCAGCCCTTCTCCAGACTCTTCACCGACTTCTTGATGTCGGGCTCAACGGTTCCCGCGTACTGCGGATCGGCGCCCGACAGCAGTTGTCCCGTATAAAAGCAGCCCTCGTTATCATTCAGATCGCATCCGCGGCTCAAATACTCGACCGCTTTCTTCGCGTCTTTCGCACAGCCTTTCGATTCAATCGACAAAAAAAGTTTAAAGTTTTATTCAAATCATTTGACGGCAAACTTATGGATGATTTGCTGTAATACCGGTTCCGTTGAGAAGATTGACACCAAATTGAGTACAACTTCTGGCGAACCCATTGTTATCGCAATTGTCTTTGAATACTTTGGTTGAACGGATCAAATCGTCCTCTATTTTNGACAACATCCCTATCGGCACTGGAATACGAGACAAACGCATCGTAAACCTTATCACTGTCTAAATCGTCTTCACTAAAACTCAGGCAAATAAAAATTGGATTAAAATGGATGTAAATGAAGGCTAAGATTGTCTGCTTATTTCGGTAGTAGAGAACCGACACTACAAACAAACTAATCGCTAATATAATGCACACAATGGTTAGCGTCAATAATAGTTTGTCGTTTTGCGAAGTATGCAGTGTTGGACACAACACGTCGTCCATAATCCCAATGATGGGAGTACTGGAGTTGAAAGTAGTTTTATCACATTTGATTGAATTTAAATCACCGATGGTGTCAATATGATTGCTTAGCCACGACCTGAAGTCACCGATTTGGCACTCACTTCCCGGCAATGACTTCTCGTTATGACAATCGTATGGATTGTTTCCCAAATAAAGTTTCGGTTTCACAACACTATTGCCATTCAAATGAGATGCTAAAGATTCAAATGTTTTCAATACATTTACTGGCATTGAAGTGATTTGATTGTCTCGTAACGAAAGGACACGAATCAGAGGCAATGAAGCGTTTTTTAATGGATAATAACGTGGTAATATATCCTCGTCCACTGTCGATATTGTGTTGTTATCCAAAT